TCCAAAGACTGCATTTTCTACTACTTTTCTAATATCTATGCATATACTATGCAAATTAAATATAAACTAAGGAGGAGTCAGAATATTTCTCTTAAGAACAAAGTATATCTCAGATTCACAAGAGGCCTGCGATTGAACAAAGACATGGGATCTATCTCATCTAAAGCTAAAAGTAGAACCTCCTGACAAAGGCCTTTTACTAACCACGCAAAAGGTAAAAAGCAAAACTGGAGGTAATGCTGGTTCTGACAGGGCGAGGCACAACGCGGTGAGGGTGACAGAAAGACTGAGGGAGTGGAGGAGGGATGCGTGCTAGGGAGTGATCGTGTGTACTATTAATATTAAGGTTTTTGATAAGCTCTTTGGAAATCAATTTTTAATCTGCTTATGACATTTGTAATCAAAAGCACCGTTTTCTAGTTAATTGTAATTATATCTATGTGTCAAGTAAATGACTACCAATACAACAGCTGGAGATTTACATCACAAGCCAAAATCCTGGCCAGACAGAAAAAAGTGTTAGCACTAATATAAAATAAGGGCTTCTGTTGATTCAGTAAAATGCCTCCAACAACAACAAAAATTTAGTTTTTAAGAGCACTTATAAGTTATAGCCCTACCGTAACAGTCCACTTCCATTTAATGAAGGGCAATTAAATACACCTCTCTAATAAAATCAGTATCAATCTGGGTTTTAAATCAAACTAGAGTTTAGCATCAGAGTGGCATGTCTAAAACATTTTAATTTCCTTATATACAGATCACCAGTTTACTCTCAGTCTTCAGTTAAAAACAAACAAACAAAAAACAACGAACAAGACTACAAAAATCTACGTCGTTGATGCCTGAATGTACCTGTTTTTTAAAAAAAAGGGTGATGAAACTAAATGGACACATTTTTATCTCACCATCAGCGTAACTATCACTACGTAACTATTACTATTACTACGTAACTATTACTTACTATTTTATCAAGAAAAAAGACAGTTTAGTTTTATCCCTGCAGTAAATTAAGATTCTTGGGCAAAACGGCACTTCATAAAGGAGTCATTAATCATAAACAAGCCAAGCAGAAAATCAATTCTGGCCACTGGTTCAACAGTAAACTTTTATTGCTGATATTACACTTACATGTCTCATAAAGTAGAAATACTAATTATTGTTTATAACAGCCAACAACTTGGTTTCTATAATCTAGAGAATGATTTTAATGATTTCTATACATTAAATAATTAATCAGACTAAACTTGAAGAATTAGGTGGGCACTACAAGCTATAAAAACTAGGAGAGGCCGGGAGCAGTGGCTCATGCCTGTAATCCTAGCACTCTGGGAGGCCGAGGGGGTAGGATTGCTTGAGGTCAGGAGTTCGAGCCTGGCCTGAGCAAGAGCGAGACCCTGTCTCTACTAAAAATGGAAAAATTAGCCAGGCACAGTGGTGTACACTTGTGGTCCCAGCTGCTGAGGAGGCTGAGGCAGGAGGATCCCTCGAGCCCAGGAGTTTGAGGTTGTAGTGAGCTATGATGATACCACTGCACTCTACCCTGGGCAACAGAGTGAGACTCTGCCTCAAAAAAAAAAAAAAAAAAAAAAAAATTAGGAGAAAAACAAATACACCATACACATCTGTAGAAAGGCTGAGGATGCTTTGGAGGTTCACTCAAGCAGAACTTTGTCTACTTGTATCCCTCAGAGAGTAATTCAATTGGGTGTGACATGAATTAATTTTGAAAAGAAATATCACTAAAAACACACTAGACACTTGCTTGTCATGCTTACTAGATTTTGGATGCCGTGATATGAATACAAATATTAACTACAACAATGATTTAAGACATAAATACACCAAAGACACTGAGGCTGCCGCCAAAGGATCTAAATGTGTTCTGCTTCTAACTATGGCTCTGACATTGCTTTCTTAAAATAGTCACATGTACAGGAGAAGTCAAGTCTATATGCTTTTGTACAACATGTATTCTGAGCAATATGTTTGTTTTAATGCAAAATTAAAATAGCAGCCCTGATGCCTATGATTTTCTTCACAAATACAATGAATGTGTCAGAGGCATTTCTTCAGCAGTTGGAACTGATTTTTCTACTCTCCTTGCACTTTGAGGTGACAAGATATGAAGAAGGAGGTCCCTTATCATGTCAAGAATGTGTGTTACTGTATTTTGGGGTAGCTTATGCCAAAGCCTTCAGTTCTTCAACCATATCAGAAGATGAAAATTCTATAATGACAGCAGGCTAAAATTTTTTTCCAAAGTTCACCTTAATGTTAAAACATGGGCATTTTTAGTAGTATACAAAAGCAAAAATCCTCAACAATGCATGTTTTAAGGATGCATTTTTCTCATGAAATCTTTTATAATATTTCTTATTTTGAAGACCAGAGGTTGATTCCTTTCAAGTGGAGAGTTAAGCAATAAGGGCAGGGAAGAGAACTAGATAATAGGGAAGGAAAGATGGCAAAAATATTAAAAGCCTAACTCTTTAATACTGCTTCCTTAGGGTATTCAGAAGACAGTACCATTTTGTTCTCCTTAGGAAATGTTACATTAATGTTATAACTTTCAACTTGGGTTTTTTTAAAAAGGTATTTGTGTGTCATGTATGTATTAAGCACACATAGAAAGAGAAGAAAGCAAGCTTTATTTCCTTATTCCACTGCCGTCGCACTACTGAACCGCCCTCCAAAAAGGCACCTAATCACCAGATTTACGAGTCTTTTCTCAGCTCCCATTTTCCTTGACTTTTCATCCATCTCCCAGATATCCTCACAGAAATTTTAGCCTTCTAAATGTTTCCCTATTGATGATGTCAATTATAACTACTGCTTTATTATCTACTAAATCTACCTCTAATCCCAAACTATCTCCTGCAGATACATCTCACTGGTCTGATACCTGGCTTCTAAGTGTGGCCAATAAGCTTCAAACATTATTTACTCCACTGAGACAAACGCTTCCCAAATCTCTTATTTCTATTTCTGGAGCCAAAATTTTCACCACCCAGACCAGAATCCCAAATTTATTCCTTGACTTGTTGCTACCTTGGCCTATACTCTACATTCAATATTTTACAAAGGCTTCTGGATTCTGTCCTTATAATATCTGTATCAGGAATCTCCCTTTTACTTCTACTCATGTTCAAGTATTCATTATCTCTTACCTGGATTACTTTATGAGCCTGTTAATTTATTTCCTTATCTTTTTCTGCTTTGATTTATCTTACACAAATTTGCAAAACGGATCCCTCTGAGGTACACCTATGATTATTTTACATTTCACCAAATCTTTAATGACTGATGAATTAAATAAAGACTCTTTATTCATCTTAGCCCTCAGAATTCTAGGCAAGGCAAGTCTACCTTATTATAATTAACAGTTGCTTTATCCCATTTTTATAAAGAGTTCTACTAAGGCACAGACTGGTAGAAGACTAACAAAATTAAGAAACCAATAGTAAATACTAAGTAAGGATTGATGTGGAGAATAAACTAGGCTTAACTGGCTAACAGGATTCTTAATTTTAATTTTTTATGGCTAGTGAAACTTTTAAGTCCTTTAACTTAAAGCCCTACAGTCTAGGATGCTGCACTTCAGTCAGTTCTCAGGACAGCTGATTTCCAACTCATGTAGTGTGGCACCAACTTCACAGCATGTGTGTAATAGAACCACATGCTCATACTTGGTTAACAAATCAGTAAGGCTGTAATAGAGATAAATGAGGATATCTGAGAATTAAAGTTATATACTACTTTCCGTAAGATAAACACCCAACAGTAAATCAATGCTTTAACTCAGAGTAAAATAACCCAGTAGAAAAAAGAAACAGTTGCCTGACCCTGCACCATCACTTAATAATCTCATACACTTTGCTCTATTCCAACTTGCCATATTACTACTTCTTATCAATATTAGATAAACATGGAATGAACAAAATGTTTAATACTACTGCCAACAGAAATGTAGAACATATCATTAGTGAGATTTTACATTAGTTCATAAGCCTATTTGATTAATCGTTGTCTTCCCCAGTAAACTGAGCTCCAATAGAGCACAGACCATCTGTTTTCAAAGATACAGAAATTTAAACAAATGGAAAGACATACCAGTGTTCTTGAATAGAAGACTCATCATCAAGATGTTAGTTCTCACTAAGTTAATTTAAAATGTGATACAATCCCATACAAATACCATAGTTGCCCCCACTCCCACCTGTGAAGCTAGATGAATTGCTTAAAAT